GGGGCTTTGCGCCGCGGCCGCCGCCTCGGCCCTGGGCTTGCCCTGAGGCGTCTGTCCGCGCGGCCGCCCCGCTGGGGCACGAAGGGCCTTCCCCGGCCTGAGGGGGCACGGGCGTCTCAGGGCGCTAAATTCTCAGGGCCCTGAGGCGGTTTCCCCCCTCCCGTAACAAAATAAACAAATAAATTAGTGTTGGCCCTAGTAGTGACCTTTCCCCCCTGCGTGGGAGCAGAGATTAGCAGTAACGTCCCTGGGATCCGTGGCCGGACGCTCCAAACGCGCTCCCTATCAATCACGCGACCGTGGAGTGTTTCCAACCAATTAACAACCAAGATCCCTGTTCTTGGTGGCTGTTTGGGGCTTTTTCTTTCCCTGGCAGTTGTCCCTGTTGTTTATGCTCTTCCCAGCTTGGAGCGCTAACTCTGAAGCTGTTTTCTTAACATAGTCAGTTTGGGGGTTTGCTTGGCTTCCTCTCTGAGGGGATATTTTTCCCTGGTTTGAGCTGATACGTGCTCCCAGCCCCTGCTCTGGCAGGTTATGAGGCCGCTGTGCTCCTTCTCCTTAAAACATGAAAATAGCAGCAGCGTTCTGGTTTGATTCATCCTGCTTTTCCACAAGGTTTCTGCTTTGCTAGGGAAGAGCTGGCTTGGGCTTTTTGGTTTTGCTTTTTTTTAAGATTAATGAACAATTAGCATTTAGCTTCTAGGAAGGCTGAGGAGAGAGGGGTAGGAACCATATTTCCATTGCGGACTTGTGCGCATTCTTGTGCCTGTGAGCAGATTATTTTGGTTTTCTTGTTGGGGCTGGGTCTGTGACCTGAGGCACTGGGCTCAAGTGAGGGATTCCCTTCAGCTCTGTTGTCCATCCAACTAAGGAGTCTCCAGTGTGAAATGGAGAGAAAGAGCCTTGATCTTTAGATCTTCGGGCCGACAAAATACTGTAACCATGTTGGCAAATAAGTAACATCTTTTGCTATGTGGGTATTTCTCACTGTGTGTCTTGCTGGCAGTGCCAGGAGGACTGTGCTAGCATTCTCCCGTTGCCTCTCGGGCATCTTTTCAGCAGCTCCATGTTAGAGCTCCGGCAGTGGCGGGGTGTCTTGTGAGCGGCAGCGACGCTGTTCTGGTCCACGTTTAATCCGAGCCTCTGCTGTCAGAGGAAGCAAAGGAGCAGGTGCTGCTGGAATCCGGCTGTGTGCCAGGCCCCATTGTGCAGGAAAACATTTGGGCTACCTGGAAAGATGCGCTTCCCAGTCGCTTTCCATCAGCAGATCCCTGTGGAAGCACCTTTCTTCCCTTCGTTCCCCACAGAAAGCAGCAGGTGCCTTCTGCTCCTCGGTCAGGTTTGCTGCTTCCAAGGCCAATGAGACTGACTGCTGCTGGGCCAGTAATCAGCTCCTGAAGGTGGTGGGATTCGAGATGTTAAGCTAAGGCTGCTTTAAGAAACCATGCCTTGGGATTAGCAGCTGCATTTGGGAGTGATGCGGAGTACGTGTGTGTTGTCTGCCTCTAATTGGCTTCCCTTTAAACCTCCGAGATTGGCACATTCTCCAGACGTGCCATCTTTCCTTCTATTTGTGTGTCGCTGATGTTTCATTGACCGTCTGTATAAAAATAATGTCACTTCATTGCCAAGCATGCGGCATCTTCTTGAGGAGCGTTGTAACAACGGGAAACTTCTGGAATGTAGCCGTCTCCCAAGGAGAGGGTGGAAGGGAATGAGAAGGCAGCAGCGTTTTTATAACGCTGCCACACCGCGAAAATGTCAGTATGAGAAGCAGCCTGAGACATGGAGACTTTGCATAAATCCTGGAAGGTCATCTGGAATTTTTGATTTTTCTTTTTACTACCAGTAAGCTAAGAGAGGGAGGGGGAAAGCATGAACTGTGAGTGGCAGGCTTATACCCCAGCACGAAGGGTGCCGGCCGCGGGCTCGCTGCGACGCTCTGCTACCCGTGTGGGGCGGCGGGGCCGGCTCGGGGATGCCACTGATGAGAGTCACGTGTACAAAACTTATATGCAGTTTCAGGGGGATTTATGCAAGCAGGAAAGCTTTGTGATTCCTATACGTGCTTTCTTGCTATTATCTTTGAAGTCCTCCCTGCGCCTTTGTATAAGTAAGTATATCGGATCCGTACTGGATCCCCTATAGGGCAGGATGAAGGTTGTTTTGTATTGCCTGTGGAAGGCATCGGTACTTCTATTCTGGCCAATTTGATTAATACTGAGAAATTCTTTTAGAAAGAGATAATCAGCCCCAGTCTTAAAGTGCACATGGGCCTCGTGATGCGAGAGTCTTAATGGTCAGCACTGCCATGAGAGCGGCGCTTATAAACATGCACAAGGGATTGCTATGGAGGAACAAAACGCAGTGATATTCGTGGTTCTGCTCACTGCTGGTAGAGCTGACACAGCTGAGCAGGGAGAGAGCTCGAGCCTCTCCCTGTGAAAACAGATGCATCTTTCTGTGGTTTCAGCTTTTTTATGTAGTGGGCAAATTTATCCTCCACGTATAGTCTAAATGAGACAGTTCTGTGTTTTCTCTTAAATCTAGATGAACGGTCCCAGCCATCTCTGAAGGAATACTTTTGCTGTAGTGATAATGCATAAAATTACCAGTCTAGACTTAAGATACAGAAAATACTTATTTCCCAGATTGTTTCATACATGGGTTTTGTTTCTGTTATTTTTAAGGGATTATAGAAACACATGTATGGCTCAGAGCACTCCATTTTTCATCTTCAGAGAGGCCACTGTCCATTTGAGGACAACAACAGTATTAAAATGCAAATTTGGCTTTAGCTTTGAATGCTAAGTCCATAAAGCAAAGCTCAAATATGAATTTGAATATGAAAAAAAAGAATTTTGAAAACAATGATACCAAAAATACTTTGGAATCATTTGCTATTACTGGGTGTTATTTCTTACTCTTCTCTCAAATTATATTTGTGCAATCATATTTTTTTTCCTGTATTATCACATATTGTTAACATTATTTTTCCTAAATAGCAAGCCTGAATGGAAGGAACCATGTTAAAAAACTCCAAGCAGATCTTGGAAGTGGGATTGGCAATATTACTCTGTTTTTTTTTTTTTTTTGGCTTGCCTTCTCCTTACAGAACTGTTTTGTGAAGTTTATTTCAAGACCGTGGTCAGGCCAAGTTTAATGACACAGAGTAACTTTTTCATTGCTTCCTTTAGAAAGCCATTCCATAGTCTAGTAGATTGTACCTACTAAGACTTTTGTTTTTCCCATTTAAA